GATAAGGGTAGAAGTCACACACAGCCTCCCAAACATTTCAGTACCCAGGGATGGGGAATGGCCACCAGATGTCATCCCAGGGTCCTCGGTGTGGAGCATGCTCTGAGTGTTCTGCTTACATGGTTTCAGTAGTTCTAAAATGCTATCGATTTCGCCACTACAAGGATGAGGAAATCCTTCCAAATTCTGAAGGTTCATTGGCTGACATAGTCCACGTTACAGTTTTCTTTTGCCCAGATATTTGCTGTCAGTACTTGGCTGGGGTAGTTGAGCAATCCTCTGAAGGCTCTTATGGAATGCATATCTTCCATGTGCATATGGGTATGCTGTCCACTGCTCTGTCTAAGCCCATGTCAGGCCCAGTTCTGACATATGTCACTTCATAGTCAGGCCATAGATCCTGCAATTCTCCCCATGATTGGAGTTCTGAGTCCAGTGGTTTATTTGGGAGGATCCTCAAAGAAAGCTTGTCTGAAAAAAAAGAAAGAAATTTAAATAAAATAAAATAGTCTTCATCTCCATGGTATTGTCAAATTCATAGCAGGAGTATCAATGTAACGCTACGGTGGTGCAAAAGAGTGTCCAATATCTTCCTGCAGAAAGTCTAGCATATGACCCATGTGGTTCCAATGGGAGTACAGTACGGAATAGATCATCATTGCCCATGGGTAGTAGTAATAACAGTGATAAGAGGTGAAAATCACAGGTGAAAATCCACTTAACCATATCACCCAGCAATATCACTTCTATCCAAAACACCTGTTACTCAAGAAACCCCCATGTTAACTGCAGCACAAACATTAATCACACATCACAGTTTCCCTACTGGGCTCACTTCCAGTCCTGAATTTTGTACTCTCCAGGTGGTTCTGCAGTCTAGCTTGACAGGATTTGCCCCCAGTCCCAGCACTTGCCAGCTGATACTGCAGTAAAGCCCTACCATACTGCACCTACTCTGGCTCATGCATGCACCAGTGGATATAGCCTGTTAGCCCAGCCTGGCTTTCCCCCAACCCAGTTCTCATTCAGGCCAACAGGTATTATAGCCCTGCTTGGCCTGGTCTTCCCCCAATCCTGGCTCTCATGCTTGCCAGTGGGAGCATTGGCCCAGTGTTTGAGTTTTCCACAGGCCCCTACCAGGTTCACCCCCTGCATCTGGGGTCACACGTGTGCTTGTGGGTGCTTTGGCCCAGTTTGGCATGGCTTGCCTCACCTCAGTATTTGCCGATGGGTGCTATAACCTGACCTGGTCTGGCTAGCCCTTAGTCCCAGCCCTAATGTGAATTGGCTGGTATTGTGGCCCAACCCGGCCTGTCCTGCGCTGTGTCCTGGTTCTCAGATTGGGCTCTGGGTGCTATGGCCTGGCCCAGCCTGTCCTGCCCCAGACCTAGGCCACACATATGCAGGTGGGTACTGTAACCTGGCTTGAACTGGGCTGTTCCCAGCCTTGGTTCCTGTGCTCACCTGCAGGTACTGTGTGCTGATCGATTAGTTTGTAGTAATTCTTTATTTTAGTGAATATTTGTTTGTGATTATAAAATAAATAAAAAATATATCATTGCAAACACTAAAAGAAAAAATAAGAAAGTGAGGAGGGAGCATGAATGGGAAGGAGGGTGGAATTGGAAGTGTCATTATGTTTAAAATTTTTTGTTGTTGTTGTTATTTTGCATGAAACAGTTCTGTAGATATAGATACAGGGGTTTCCCCCTCCCTTCCCCTTTCTTTTTGCTAGGTTTCTCCTACTGCCATTTCCCCCCATATCATCACAGTAGTATAGTTCCTTCGTAACAGTTACAGGTTTAACCCTCTGCTATTTAAATGTATTATGCCATGGTAGCAATAGGCAAAGGTAGAAAAAAAACTAGTGTCCAACTCTAAAGGTATATAAAAAGGAGCTTGCATGATGGCTCAGCTGGCTAATCCTCTGCCTGAAAGCCCCAGCATCCTTTTTGTATCCAAGCTGGTCTACTTCACAAACCAGCTCCCTGCTTATGGCTTGGGAAAGCAGCAGAGGATGGCCCAAGTACATAGGCCCCTGCACCTGTATGGGAGACCCAGAAGAGGCTGCTGACTGTTCACTCCCCAAATGGCCACAATGGTTGGAACTGAGAGTATCTGAAACTGGGAACTTGGAGTTTCTTCTGGGTCTTCCACATAGGTGCAGTTGCCCAAGTATCCTTCACTGATTTCCCAGACCAAAAGCAGGGAGCTGAATGGGAAGTGTAGCAGCTGGGAAATGGAACATGAACTCACATCCATATAGGATGCTGACACTATAAGGTAGAGGATTAGCCTGTAGCACCACTGGGCCGGCTCACTCAGGATTTTGTTTGTCTGTTTGTTTGTTTGTTTTGGTCTTGTTAAAATTGATGAATTTCAACCCTGGGTTCAACAAATTTCAACGAATATAAACCCTGGGTTGATCCTCAGTGGCCACTGCTCATCCTTGAGTTGGGAGGTTGGGTGTGACTTCTCTCCTTATCCCCCCATCCCCTCTGAAACGGGAAGAAGAAATAGAAAGTTCAGAAGCAGTTATCACACCCACTTTTCCCTAACCCTGGATCCTTCCCACTCTGATAAACCATGTAAATATCATCTAAAATAATAATTTAAAAAAATGTAAAAAAAAAAGCGGACAAATTTTGGTTCTTAAAAAGATTATTTTTCTTTTTAAATTTGATTTTGCAAGGCCTTTTTGACAGACATTCTGATGATCAGAATATATTTTTCCTTTAGTCCAATACATTGATTTGAGTGACTTCAAAATTCTTAGTGGCTGTTTATTAAAATATTTACTTCTGTGATCTTCCATTAATTTGATTTGCTTCTTTATCTCTGTTCTAGAAATTCTTAATTAATACTTGATCAGTATTTTTGAGTTATAAGGAATATGCCATACAGTGTATAATGTCTAATTTGTTTAATAATTTACTTTCAGTTGCTAATTCACTGTACAGCATCTTAGTCTCAGCTCTGTTCTATGTGTCATATGGATGATGAACACAATTTGTCACAACACAATCGTTTAAATCAAGTAGTAATTCTGTATTCCATGCATTCCTTTTCACAATAGAGCCTAGAGTAAAATAAATGTTGGTGGAGATTTCTGAAGAAAATGACAGTGTCCAAGCATTGTTTAAATTAATGTCAATGGAAATATATGCAATATTCAAATGAATGAGGACTGAGTATGCCAAACATTTTGATAATTTTTCCAGTGTCTTTATTAATTATTAGTGAAAAGATTTGAATGATTAGAAACAGAGAGGTTAGGGAGAAGTGGAGTCCCTGGGGCCTAAATGGTTTGGTGAACAGCCAAATAATTAGGCTGGGGTCAGATCCTGGAGGCCTACAATGCTTGAAGGAGTTTGTTGGGTGTTCTCCTAGTCTTCTATGTTTAAAAGGCACTCAGGTTTTGAAAATGAACTAACAATTCATGATTGATTGGCTTTATATACTCTGTGTTAACTATTCAGCACTTCACTTAACCTACAACTTGTGTTTCACAAACAATGTTTATGTGTGTGGTACAGACAGCTAGGAAGTACGATAAGATACAATTTACAGGTGCAATTTTTAGATTTGACATTGTATTATATTAAGACAAACATGATATCTGACCTTTTGGGATTGGCTCATTTCCCTTAGCATAATGATTTCCAGTTGGGGCCATTTGGCCACGAAGAAACGTATTTCAGTTTTTTAAATAGCTAAATAGTATTCCATAGAGTAGATGAACCATAGTTTCCTTATCCAGTCTTCTGTTGGGCCTGTCGGTTGCTTCCATGTTTTTGCGATTATTTATTGTGCTGCAATCAACATGGGGGTTTCTTGAGTAACAGGTGTTTTGGATAGAAGTGATATTGCTGGGTGATATGGTAAGTGGATTTTCGCCTGCGATTTTCACCTCTTATCACTGTTATTACTACTACCCATGGGCAATGATGATCTATTCTGTACTGTACTCCCATTGGAACCACATGGGTCATATGCTAGACTTTCTGCAGGAAGATATTGGACACTCTTTTGCACCACCGTAGCGTTACATTGATACTCCTGCTATGAATTTGACAACACCATGGAGATGAAGACTCACTATTTTATTTTATTTAAATTTTTTCTTTTTTCCTTTTCAACCCAAGGTGGACTGTACCTAATGGGAGGCATAATGGAAGAGCAGCAGAAATAAATATGTCCACAGGCAGAAACAAACAAACAAACTAAAAAGAAACAACAACAAAAGAACCTTTAATATTTTTGGTGATGAAAGCATTTTTCACCAGCCAACACTGACATAATAAGACGAAACGAGAAATATTTTGAAGATCTTCTCACAATTTCAAAGAGTGGTGGAACAGAATATGAACTGGGGTGCTAAGTTCGCGAAGGCTGCTTTTGGGCTGGGACACACACTGAGTGGAGCGGCTTCGTTGAAGACAGGGCTTTTTCTACTTTGGAGTTCTAAGGGATGGTAGAATTCACTTCTGTCTAGTGTTGTGTTCATTTTCCTCCCCGAGTGGCTCCTCAGCAGTGCGTTAACACTGTAAATGATTCCCGAGGCATTATCAGTAAGTTTAACAGTAAGCTCTCTCTTGGTCCTTTTAAATGCGGCTTCTGTGTATTCTGAAAGAAATCCCTTTCATGCTTATGTCACGTTTGTTTTTGTTTTGCATAACGAAAAAGGTGGTGCAATTTGGAGATTTGGGCATCAATCGTCCAAACAACCTATAGTGAGGCTTGTTTCGCTTCACGAGATTTGGTACCCAAAGCTGTGGAACCAGGTTTCAGCATCCTTCCTCTCATCAAACATTTCTTAAGGCAAGCGTTGCGCCTTTTCGAATGTCGTCTGCTCTCTATTCTATACCTCCTCTCCGACCGCCCCCTGGGTTCCTTTCCACCCTCTACCTCGCCCCCTCCCGCCCCCTCCGCCTCGAGCCTGCGCATGCGTTCTAAGAACCCCTACACTCAACGACACAGGCTGAGTATTGTCGGGGGCTATTCTCTCTCCCAGGAACATGGCGGCGAGTCAGGGAGGTGGTGGTAACAGCGGGGGCGGCGGTTGTGGTGGAGGTGGAAGCAGCGGTGGCTGTGGCGGGGCCGGAGGCGGCGGCGGCGGGGCCGGAGGGGGAGGTGGCGGCGGCGGCGGCGGCGGCGGCGGCGGCGGCGGCGGGACCGTGGTCGTGCCCATCCCGGTACCGACTCTTTTCGGTCAGCCGTTCCCTAACGGGCCTCAGTGGAACCCAGGGAGTGTGCAGCCTCAACACACCGTGAGGAGCCTGGACCGGGCCCTGGAGGAGGCGGGCAATTCTGGCATCCTGAGCCTCAGTGGTAGGAAACTCCGAGACTTCCCCGGCTGTGGCTACGACCTGACTGACACCACCCAAGCAGGTGACAGGACGGGGGTGTGTGGGGGGGTGGGGGGAGGGGGAAGCTGGGCTGCGAAGGAGGCGATGGGAGAGTGGGTGGCTGCGTAGTCAGTCGTTGGGCTCCGCTGGTCTGGGCGAGTACCCTGGGGCTGACGGAGTCTCAGCAGCTCATTCTTTAGGACCCCCCCCCCCCAGTGGCGCCGAAGGGACGGTGGGGATGGGTGGCCCTGGGGGGGGGGGGTCCTGAACCAAGGATGTATCTGAACTGGTGACCTGTGGGGGTGGGTGGCAGGGCATTATTGTGGAGGCGACTAAAGCCATGAAGGGCAAGAGGGAGGCTTAACACCCTCCTTAATGCATTTTCAACTCCTGGATGTTCCGTCTTTTCCGGAACAACAACAAAACCCGGCAGCAGACAATCCATAAATCCTGGCTGTACATACTCCTTAAAGACGTCCATGCCCACAAGAGCGCCAGAGCGCCTTTCTCCAGTACAGCAGGACTGGCGTGCTCTGTGTTCTTATGTTGTGTGTGGTTTAATCATCCCAAGACAATCTTGGCTTCTTTCTAGTCACGTATGCCCTTAAAGATTGAGATTTTTCATTTTCTGGTTTGTTGAGGAGGTAGTGGTGGGCAAATTAGTATTTGCTGCAGTGGCAAATTAAATCATCAATCACTTAATGTGGTTCCTGGGGGAAGCTATTCGTTGTTTTGAGTGATATTGGAGTCCTCATTTTTATAGCAGAAATATCCCCAAATTTTAAGGGTTTCTTGGAGGAAAAAAAATGGATTTGTGGAGTAATGGATTATCATTTTTGGATGAGAAACTGGCCATTGTAGTGTTTTGCGCACTGTGTCTAGAAGTCTTTGTTGTGGCTTTTTTAAATTTTAAATAAATCAACACACTGTTCCCCTTCTGATTATTTTATGTATGCTTTGGTTTGATGAAAGGTTTTTTTTTTTTTGCTTTTCACAATCTTTTAACTTTGCTATTTATCTGTTTCTGTATCTGCTGTGATGAAAGAAATCATGCACAAAGTTATTTTAGCAGAAGTACTGAATTTTGATACAATATAGTCAGTAAATTCACCCATGAGAAGTAGTAAAAGTCCTTCTTTTAAGAACAAGACAATTTCAAAATATTTAGTTACTATATATTTTATCAAGGTATGTGTGTTTCAAGAGGAGGAAAATGTAAATGACTGGTTCTCTTAGGATTTCTGAGAAGTGTAGATTTGTAATTTTTACCTAATTTTGTAATTTGGAAAGCAGGTTTGACTATTTACTCCTTAACTCTCAATGGATTTCCCAAACAATATATTCACATGTTCATGACTGTTTTGGCAGGATATTATGTTATTTTGGAATGTTCCTCAAAGGCTTCAAGGAAAATGGTTTCGGTCTGCATTGTTACAGGGTATCTTTCTTTGTATATTGTTCTTTATAACATATAAAGCTTCCTTTTATCTACAAGATAAAGGTTAAGCATCTTAGCTTAACATTCAGGACTTTCACTTTCTGGCAACAGTTTATTGTTGAAACCTTATCTCAGAACTGCTCCTAAATAGAACCCTTTCTCCCAACTTGATCACTTTCCCTTTAACACATTTTGTGCATTTCTGCCTCCTCTTTGTATAAGGCCATCAATGTTTGCTATTTCCCTTTTTCTCCGCCTGTTTACTTTTGTTCAAATGCTAGCTTTTCCAAGAAGCCATCTCCGGCTCCCTTAGTCCACAGAAATCTCCTGTGTCTTTGAATTCCCATGGTACTTATTGCCAAGCTGTGCTGGCTTTCTTTGCATTTTTTTATTTGTGTCTTACTTCTCTAAGAAATGGAGAGTCCCTTAAAGGGAGAAAATAAGCTATATACATATCAGTTATCTCATTATGGATTTATTTTATTGGTTTAGAAAATATTGCTTATTAATAATGAATATAATGTTCTCCGATATAACATTTGGCTTTTTAAACCTTCATTGTGTTGAATTTTCAAAGCAAGCTTCAACACAAACCAGAATTTATTTTATCTGATAAGCATTCACTCATCATAAACTTTATTAGTGTTTGTAGTAGCATGGGCCTTATTGAAGCAATTCCCCTTCATTTTACTTTTCACTTAAATGCATGGGACCGTTTCAAAATCAGAGTTTAAAAAGTCCTGGTGGTCTTGTTTTCATTTGAATGAGATGTCTGCAGGTGACCTGTTTGCTGAAAGATTTATTTATTTATTTTTTTACCTGAGTGGCTGGTGCTGTAACACACTGGGTTAGCTGCTTAGCTAGTATCCCATATGGACACCCTGCTGATCCAGCTCCCTGCTAATGGCATGGGAAAGCATCAGAAGATCACCCAAGTGCTTGGGTCCTCTCACCCGTGTTGTATACCCAGAAGAAGCTCCTGACTCCTGGCTTTGGCCTGGCTCAGCCTTGGCCATTGCAAACTGATTTTAATGGATGAAAGTTTCTCTCTCTCTCCCTTTCTTCTTCTAATTTTGCCTTTCAAATAAATAGAAATATTTTCATAAGTTGTCTTATTTATTTGAAAGGCAGAGAGTGAGAGGAAGAGATAAAGACAAGTCTTCTACCTGCTGGTTCACTCTACAAATGGCCACAGCAGCCAGTACTGAGCCAGCCTGCATACTGGAGTGTGCAACTCCATCTACATCTCTCATATGGATGGCAAGGGCTCAAGCACTTGGTCCTTCATCTCCTGCTTTCCAGGCTCTTTTACAGGGAGTTAGATTGGAAGCACAGCAGCCAGGACTTGGAATTGGCACTATGATAAGGGATGCTGGCACCATAGGTGGAGACTTCATTTGCTACTTGCTTTGTACAAAATTCAGCCATTAAGCATTTATGGGATGATAGCTTTGAATGCAAAGAGACCATCATACATTATGTATAAATAGATACACGGAAACAAGAAACGCAGGGAATGTTTGATGTTACATATATATATATATGCATACACATACAGTAAATCTTGATGAAAACAGTTCTGTTTGATAATGTTGCTATAGTGTGCTTAAGATAATTGTCCATGGAGTAATATTTTAAAGGCCAATTAACTAGTTAGCAAGTCTATAATGGTTTATTGTGTTGTGAAGAGACTGGGAGAAAGGAAAATAACTAAGAAGCTATTCTGTTCATTTTTGTGAGAGGTAGTAAAGATCTGGCTGAAACCATTGCATTGGGGGAAATAGGGAAATTTTAAAAGAAGGGGGGAGGGCTTTTTGTGTTATATTCCCTTTTTTCAAATATATGTAAGCCAAAATAGACCAGTGGTTCTGTACTCCGCAGTTCAAATCATGAAAGGTTTTTGTTTTCCTTTTTGTTACTGTTTCACATGATGTAGTTTTATAGGTATAGGGATTCCCTCCTGCCCCCTTCCCTTCTTCCCCACCGCCGTTTTCCCCTTCCACCATTTCCCCCCATATTGTTATAGTAGTATAGCTTTATCAACATTTACAAGTTTCTCAATCTCTTATTTAAGTGTATCATGACATTGTAGGTATAGATAGAATGGTAGAAAATCTAGTATCATGCTGTTAAGATATATTTGACTGTTTTCATTGGGAGTCCTCCTTTTATTCAGGAGTAGAGATATATACTGTAATATATCTTCATTTCCCCATATGCTAGTGTCCATTACACAGTTCATCTACCACAATATATGTATATGCTTGTTCACCTATATATGTTTGTTTTGTGTTTTGCACGAATGTTGCTTTATATCAAAGAGAACATGTGATATTTGCCCTTTTGGGATTGACTTATTTTGCTCAACTTGATGGTCTCCGATTGGAACAATTCTGTTGTGAATGGTAGAATTTCATTCTTTTAAATAACTGAATAGTATTCCATGCAATAGATGTACCACAGCTTCTTTATCCATTCCCTCTTTTAATGGGCATCTGGGTTGTTTCCAGTCTTCAGTATTGTAGATGCTGCTGCTATAAACATAGGGTCACAGGGTGCTTTCTCTTGTGTAGGTATCGTTTCCTTTGGATTTATTCCCAGGAATGGGATAGTTGGGTCATCTGATATATCAATTTTCAGTTGTCTTAGCACATTCCATACTGACTTCCATAGTAGCTATACCAGCCAACACACCCACCAACAGTGGAATAGGGTACCTTCTCCTCTACATTCATGCCAGCAGTTGCTGTTAGTAGGTTTCTGTATGTAGGCCATTCTCACTGGAATTAGGTGGAACTTCAGTGTAGTTTTTATTTACATTTCCTTAGTAGCTGGGGAGCCTGAGCATGTTTTTACATGTCTCTTTGTTCCTTTGAAAAATAGCTGCTCATTTCCTTCACACATTTCTTCAGAGGATTGTTTGTTTTGCTGTTGTTGAATTTCTGAAGCTGGTTGTGAATCCTGGATATTAGTCCCCTATCAGTTGTGTAGTGTGCAAAGATGTTCTCCCTTTCTGTTGGTTGCTTCTTCACTTTGTTGTACAGAAGCGTCTTAGCTTGATGTAGTCCCATTTGTGTATTTTGGCACTGACTGTGTGTTTGGTGACTTTTCTAAGATGTAGTTGCCTATTCCTGTATTCCTCTACATCCTGTAGAGTGATTCCTATGTTTTCCTCTAATTGTTTGATGATTTTCTGGGTATAGATTAAGGTCCTTGATCCACTGAGAGCTGATTTTTTGTTTAAGGTGGAGGTCTTGTTTCCTGTTTATGGAAGTAGATATCCAATTTTCCCAATTGTATTTGTTGAAGACACTAAACTTTTCCCTGGAGTGTTTTCACTTCTCTAATTGAAGGTTAGTTGCTGTGCATGTGTGGGCTCCATTCTGATGTTTCGATTCTGTTCCATTGATCTTCTTTATTTCTGTGCCAGTACCAGACTGTTTTGATGACCACTGCCCTGTAGTATATCCTGAGGTCTGGAATTGTGATTTCTCCAGTTTTATTTATATTCCTCCAGATGGCTTTGGGTATTCGTGGTCTCATGTTTTCAGATGAATTTTTAAGTCGAATGTTATTGGATTTTTATTAGGATTGCATTGAATCTG